TATTCTGCCCATTTTTGATTGGATTATTTGGGGCTTTTTGTGTTGTGTAAATTCTTTATGTATTTTGGGTATTAACCCTTTAATATGTTATTTGCAAATATATCTCCCATTCAGGAAGTTGTCTTTGAGTTTTGTTGATTGTTTCCTTTGCTATACAGAAGCTTTTTATTCTGATGTAGTCCCAATAGTTTATTTTTGCTTTTTGTTTCCTTTGCCTGAAGAGGCATATCTAGAAGAGTGTTGCTATGGCCAATGTCCGAGAAATTACTACCTGTGCTCTCCATTAGGATTTTTATGGTTTCAGGTTTCATATTTAAGTCCTTAACCCATTTTGAGTTTATATTTATGTATGATGTAAGAAAGTGGTCCATTTTTATTCTTTTGCATGTAGCTGTCCAGTTTTCCCAGCACCATTTGTTGAAGAGACTGTCTGGATTCTAATTCTTAGAAGGACTTTTTTGTAATAATGGTAGCTACATGGCACTTACAAAAGACAGGGATTGCATAGTTAGAGCATGTTCATACAAAATTGGACTGAGAATGATTTTGAAGTTCCTTCCTCAAAATAAAATTTCTGAATAAATAATAAGCAGTATCAGAAAGCAGCTGATATTTTTGTTTTTTACTGCTCAAAACCTCTGATACTACTTGTTTTCATCACTACTGTTAGCCACTCTGTTTCCCTTACCATTTTCTCCATTTCCCTAGTGGTAAAAGCATAAAATCATGACAGGCAGACAAAACTACAGAGACAGAGAACAGATTAGCAGTCACCAGGTGACAGGTATGGGTGGGAAGGGTACAAATAAAGGGGTAACACAGAGAGTTCCTTTGGAACAGTTGTGTATTTTTTTATTATTATTTAAAGATTTTATTTGAGAGGGGGAGAAAGAGAGAGAGCATGAGCAGGGATAGGAGCAGAGGGAGAGGGAAGGGAAGGAATCTCAAACAGACTCTTCACTGAGCGTAGAGCTGACATGGGACTCCATCCCAGGACCCTGAGATCACGACCTGAACCAAAACCGAGTCGGACACTCAACCAACTGAGCCACCCAGGTGTCCCAGAACAGTTGTGTATTTTAATGGTGGTGGTGGTTGGTTGAATCTAGCCATGGGATAAAATTGAATAGAACTAAACACACACATGAAAGCATGTAAAAGAAAGGTGAAAACTGAACAAGGTCTGTAATTTCCTTAATAGTACTTTACCAATGTCAGTTTTTTGGGTTTTGATATACTACAGTTATGTAAGATGTCAGCATTCGGGGAAGCTGAGGGAAGCATTCACAGAACTGTGTACTATTTTCACATCTTTCTATGAACCTGTAATTATTTCAAAATAATAAGTTTCAAACTTATAATAGACAACAACAACCAAGTCAAAGTATTTTTTTTAAAGAAATGAAAGAGGTAGTCTTACGAGCAAGCAGCCCATCATAACGAGCTTTCCCCTAAAGGTAGTATATATGCTATTTCTTAAAAGTGAGCCAAAACATGTAGTTCTTGCCTCTGATTTAAATATTAGGCAGTTAAAAAAAAATGTTAGCCAGCTACTAGATTAAAATGTGGTTAATAAATGCACACTGCAAAGGAACACACTCACTTTCATAAGGGTGTGTAGGTATAGGCAGTAGATCTCTGGTCTGACTTCATGTACCTTCTGCCTTTGTCTGTCTGTGCTGTCTATGTCTGGTTCCACCAGTGTATTTGCTCATGAACTTGCTTCAAACAGTTTGTAGAACAGAATTCTTCTAGATAGCATCATTGTTATCTTTTAAAAAAATCACTTATTACATGTACATCACAGGAAGCTTTGGAAATGCAGATAAACGGTAGAAAAAAATTACCTCTAATCCCACCACTCAAAAATAAATACTGTTGATATTTTGTATATATAATTCCAGTCTTATTATTTCTGTGCATATAAATGCTTTTTAAAAAATACATGAGATCATAATTTTGTAAACTTGTTTTACTTATTACGTAGGTACAGCAATGCACCATTTTCCCAGATCATTAAATACTTTTCACCCATGTGATTTAATGACTACATAGAATTGTACCCTGTGGATGTACAGCATCTTAACTAATCTTTTGTGATTGGACATTTAGGCTGTTTCCAGTTTCCACCATTAGAAACAATATTGTCATCAACATCCTTAAGGCTAAATCTTCGTACACAGTTGTGATTATTTCTCTTAGGAAAAGATCTCAGAAGTGGAATTGCTGGGGTAGGCAAAATGTCAACGCTTTTGCTTTTATTGTCAAAGATAAGCATCACTTAAAAAAATTTGTTGTAAACAAAAACCGTATTTGAACAACAAGAAGTTTTACCTACAGGGAAACTTAGGGTCAATTTCTTTAGAGTGATTCATCACTTCTGAGAGACAACTGCCATTACCAGATAGATGGATTGTTTTGACAGAATTAAAAGGAAAACATTGGAACTATCTAAATAAACAAGTTATGCAAGAATTTTTTTGCTATTTTTTATTTTTGTTAAACAATGAGAGCAAAATAATTTACCCGAGTAAAAGAAAACAAATGGAATCAACATGCCGCTAGTGGGGAATGAAGTATTTACATTTTTCCCACTTCCCATTTGATATTGATTAAAGTATATTTTTGATTATTTTTTAAGCATTACTATGCACATACACTACCTTCTTTACATACAGTGAAGGAGTAGGGTTAAAAAAATTTTATGGGAAAAACGCACTATAGTAGTTGTAATGTTGCAGAATTCTGTTGCATTTTTCTAGTTGTGAATGTCCTGTTCATGGGCAAGAGGGGGCCTGGTTCTGGATTAAAGATCATTTTTGATTGGACATCTGTAGTATTTTGCGGAACACCTAGTTGTATATTTTTCTGCATTTCCAGCTGAGTGAATATGTCACTTTGCTTGTTTAGGTAACCATCAAAACACAATCTGATCTTTCTCATTGAGAAGCCAAATCCTTAACAACAGGTTTTCTTTAATTTATCAAGTGAGGCTCCGTCTTGTGTGTTGCCAGCTTCAGATGATTATGTTCATTGTCTTCAGCCTCAGCTCCTTTCTTGGACTTTTCATTGGTCCCTACTTTGTGGAAAGCTGCTAGGTTGACACAGAAGGAACACAGATCACACCGATAAGAGTGGAAACAAGCCTTGGGTACTTTTTAAATAAAAAGTCTGAACTTTAAAAGAAGGTCTGAACTTTTAAGTAGAATGGTATTATCTGCAGTTTTTATTACCTTCCAATAACAATGAGTGGAACCTAGTAAAGAAGATATTTGATTCTTGGATTAATTTCCCACATCGGGAAGCAGTTAAATGTTTAGATGTTGGAAAAGCAGCAAGACAAATCCATGAGTATTTGACATTCTTTTTTTCTTCTTAGTCATAAGCACATCATTTTACACTGTGCATATGGTGGGTGAAATTTTGTTTGAATATAATTTATGAGATGAAGGTTACAAAGACCTCTTTCCCTTTCAGTTCTGTGTTGGTATTTTCTATGATTATTTTTTTATCAATGGCATTAAAATTTCTTTCAAAGAGAAATTTCTCTTGCTGGGATTGGTGATGAATACTTATTACTGGATTAGGGATTGTTTTTCTTTTATGACCTTATTTTCCTCTGTGGCTGTCTGTGGGCTAATTATGGGACTTTCCTTTTCATTCTTACTGTAATGTAATTCTTTTTTTTAAGTTTTAATTTAAATTCCAGTTAGTTAACTTAGTGTTATATTAGTTTCAGGTGAACAATATAGTGATTGAACATTTCCATACAACACCCGGTCTCATCATCACAAGGGCCCTCCTTAACCCCCATCACCTGTTTCCCCAGTCCCCCCACTGACCTCCCCTCTGGTAACCATCGGTCGGTTCTCCACAGTTTAGAGTCTGTTTCTTGGTTTGTCTCTCTCTCCTTTTTGCTCCTTTGTTTTGTTTCTTAAATTCCACTGTAATGTAATTCCTTTGAAGTTGAAAATAACCCTGTGAAGAAACTGGCAGAGCATTCCAGGTGGTAAGAGTTTCTCCAGCCTAGAGTAGATTTTGCTGCCCTGGGAATGGCGTATTTTTACCTGTCTGAATTAGGATGGCATTTCTCTGTCATAGTATATTTGGTTCAGTGTTAAAGAAATACTATCCAGTAGGAAATAGGGTTATAATTTAAACACAGATTTTTCTTCGAAAGAGACTACCCTCTTTGAGTTTATCTATTCTCAGTTGTACCCTGTACTTTTATTTCCCTTTAAACTAGTTATCTGAATCTGTTACCCACTCCCACCTCTCCGTGTGAAATTTTCTGTACAGACTGAGAGGAACTGTTTCTCGGAGAAACAAATTAGGCTTTATATGAAAGGGGGTTTCCCTTCGGTTTGAATGAACAAAAATTGTATACATTTCTAAAGATTTCACATATATATCCTTATATATAAAGATTTCTTATGTATGTTATATATAATAAATGTGTTACCTTTTCAACAAAAAAATGAATATGAACTTCTTAAAATTTAATGCAAAGGAAATCTGGTTTAAATCTGACCATTAAAAAATAATTTAGGTGTGTTTTTTTTTTTTTAAAGATCCAGGTAATATTTTTTCTTCAAGTTAGTATTTCATATGCCTGTTGAGAACTTTTTATGAGAGACATAGAGGTCCTAATCTGCCTTTTATGATATCAAAGGCATTCCTGTAATATTTAAATTTATATATTTATAGCTATTGTCTGCTTAATTAAGCTCAATACATGAAGATCCATATCTTAAATAGAACATGATTGCTCAAGAGTCAGGCTGGTGGATTTTAAACGTGAATTATTCACAAAAATATGAATTACCCTTAGTTTCACATACTACCCTGCTACGTAAGAAGCAGCTGTGTATTGTATGCATTAAAATATTCTTAATTTATGCTTTGTTAGACTTACATGATTAAAATGCTAGTGGATTAAAAATAATTGCTCTTTATTTCTGCAAACTTCTAAGAGTTTCTACTTTCTTTTTCTCTAACAGATATAAGCTTACCAAAGTCGGCAACAATATGCTATACAGCTGCCTTGCTCAAGGCAAGAGCTGTCTCTGACAAGTAAGTGGAGAATGGCTTGGGCGGTACTAAGTGTCTGACCCGATTGAAGGAGGTGTGTTGCCTCTGAGGGCTTTCTCTGGAAGTTTCTCTTAGTCTTTGAGACCCCTGCTTATGAGCATGCATTTTTCTAAAACCTGCTGATCTTTTCTTTCACTACTAGAAGGCGGGAATATATATCCCCAGGTTTTGTAAGGGTGTGTGGGTCCCTAAAGAGGGATTTATGTGAAATTCCATACCTCTGAGGTGACTTTTTTTTTTTTTTTGGCCAGACAGTAGATACCGAAAGGCCTGCTTGGGACTTACACAAAATGCCTTCCTTTTATTCATTTTTTTGCGTATTCCTCTCCCTTCAGCAGTCCAAGACTGGGTAGTAGTCCTAACAAACACGTGAGATGGCAGAGGGGTTGATCATCTCCCATTGACTCCTCAGTTCCCAACTAATCCCCCACCCAGGGTCCGTTTGCTTTGAGTTGTCATCTCAGCGGGACATTTGCCTCTTTTATTCAGGCAGGTGACTTTGGCATAGAGAATTTCCATACACATCCGAGATGACTGGCAGGTGAAAGAGAACAGTTGGCTTCACTGTTCTTGAGTTCACAAATGCTTATGTTTCCCCGATACAATCCCTCTGAAGCACTGAAAAGCAGATAACAGGAAAAGAAAACAGCCTCTGCTCTGTCAGACAGGTTTGCTGTTAAGTGTGTGTGCACTTCAAGACCGAAGTAATTTTCTTTCATTCTTTTTTATCCTGTAGATCGCCAGTACCTACTGCAACATCTTTTCTCCCTACACAGCGACTCCAGCTTGGGAGGGCAGGGCCAGGGTTGTCACAGCTTCCCCTGTGGTGTCTGCCTGCCAAGCACAGCTCTGGAGTTAGCCCTGGGTGTGAGGTGAGAAAGAGATTGCATGGTCTGGTTTTTTTCATTCACTTGGGCAGGTGTCCCGCCCGCAGTTTGGGCACGCACACCCCCCTGCCGGAACGGCCCCAAGCAGGCTGGCCTGCGGTGGAAGCTGCATCGCAGCACTGACATTGGGTTGGGAGCCTCCTTTAAAATTCTCCCCAGTTCTGTTTTTAACCAAGTACACCCTTCTGTAACCTAGTTTTCTCTTTTTCCTACACTGGCTGCCCTCGTCAGTCCTACCCCCTCCCCTGACCTAAGCAGGTACCTCAGAAAATTTAGACTAGCTATTTAGATAGAGAGACTTGACAGCTGAATTTAATTCCTGCCAAGATTAGATGCAAGCACGCTTTCTGCTTCTGCTGGGGTTTTTGTTGGCCTCGGTCTGAGGGGTCACTCAGAGGTTCCGTGTAGTGGAGGTTTGGAGAGCTCATGCCATTGGCTCGCTGTGGTTTTATGGGCCCTTGACGTGTAGACGCTTTTCCGGGTTGATGCCCAAGCAGTGGTCCCAACTGGATGGTGTTTGTCTTTCTGCTTTTCAGATTCTCTCCCGAGGCTGCATCTCGGCGGGGGCTGAGCACAGCAGAGATGAATGCAGTAGAGGCCATTCATAGAGCTGTGGAATTCAATCCTCACGTGCCAAAAGTGAGTCTGTGGAATCCCCACAGGAACTCGTTATGATAGCAGAGAGTGTTCGGTGACCACAATGTCATGTCTCGAATACACCCAGTATAAAAAAATGAATTGCAGCCAGTGAACATTGAAGCCCTATATAGTCCATGGTTATCAGCTTCATTTTTAAGCAAAAGCTACATTCAAGAGGCTTTGTGCGGATTTGGGGGCTTTATATAATTGGGGTAAATTGATAGACCTGGCTTAGGCAGGTCAGGCCAGGAAGCCTGAAATTGGCAAAATATGGAGATCCCAAGAGTGTTGATGCATTTGATAGGAATTTCACACCAGTTACAATCTTACTTAGACCCAACTCGGGAAATGAACCTAGTTTTGAATATAAATGGTAAAAAAAAAAAATACTGATTAAGATGTTCTGAGTGCTTTCTGAGTGCCATTTTAGGAGGTATACATAGTAGGAAATGTTTGTCTTAATTGTTAACCACATGATTGACTAATTTATAAATACCCAGTATTTCCCATATATTTATTTTCCTGAATTTGATTTTAAAAGGGAGCCAAATCACGATAGAGGATATTTCTATAATCTTTTATTTAGGGGCTGGATGTGTATTTATGATTTACCTATATTTGAGTCCCTGCTGTGTGATAGGCACCTTGCTGAGTGCTATTTTCAGTTTCTCAGTGTTATAAAGCACATTTTGACCTTTGGGAAACTATTCATATGGGGTACCACAGGCATAGATTTCTTTCAAATTTCTGAGGAAGACTTTCATTGGTGAAAAATGACAAAGGAAGGCTATTTTGTTTTCTTGCAGTACTGTAGCAAGAGGGTGGTGTATGTGTGCATGTATGTGTGTATGTGAGGATTTGTAGAGTTACCTACTTTAATTTATTTTGTTGATATTCACAGTGACAGAGATAGGTGACCTAACACCATTTCTGAGCTTTGACTCAGGTCATGCTCATTTTCTCGCAAAACAGAATCTGAAGAATGGTGTACAGTGCCACAGTTAGTGAAGGATATAGTTATCCACTCTAGTTCCAGTGGATAATGACCAACATAGTACTTGTAGACTTAGGTATCATAGATAGGGTGGTATAACATATATCTCTTTATTTAATATATTTTCGGCTAAGTTAAAAATGTTCATTCAAATTTGATTAAAACTTAAAGCTAATCATGAAAATATTGTCCTGAATTACAGTCAACTTAGGTCATCAATTAATATTTATTGAATGCTATATTCAATACAGAGTTATTCTATGAGTATAAATAAGCTCTTCTAGAAGTAGCATTGAGCAGTAGAGTCCTAGATTCTGAGACAAAAACTTGGGTTTAAGTTCTGGCTCTGTCATTTATTAGCCCTGGGAGCTGGGGGCTTAGCATCTCTGAACTCAAAGTTTTCCCTCATTTTTTCAAATGAAGATAAAAATATAAACCTTACCTTCTGTGATAAAGACCAAGTGAGATAATATAGTCAAAGTTCTTTGACAAATTGAACATCTATGTTCATAAAATATTAAAATTGATATTGGACTTGTTGGTGGCCCCTCCAATCTGGAAACTGGGTCCTAATTCTTCAAGTTTTAGCAGAGCTTTGTAATCTTAGTGCATGAACTAGGAAACTGGTACTTGCTGGTTAGATATTTTAGTTGAAGCTGTAGTATAATTCTATGATAAGGGTCTTAAATGGTTGATTGAGCTTCTAGAAAAGTATTAAAAGCCCTAAGAAATAGTTTAAGGCTACCTAGGAAGAATTGACTCAGTCAGCTAGCACTCTACCTGCAAAATAGAATTCTTTTTAAAAGTGGGAACATTTGAAATATTTGATTTCACTCTACTCTTTAATTGTTGACTGGAGAAAAGATAGGGTACATAGGTAAACCGATTCTCTACACTTTGCTTTGTTAGTGATTGTGCTGAGGGAAAACTTGTTTCCAGATCATCTTCATCTATTGACATTTCCATGGGGAAAAGGCCCTGTGAATCACTGTTCAGAATTATGTCCAGAATTAACCACAAACCTCTGGGTACATACGTGTATTATTTGCAGGCTGTTATGAACATCCTTTATACATGACCTGTTTATTGGACTGCTTGCTAATACTTTAATAAATACACACACACTGGTGCCTTTTCAGGGAGAAGGTAGGCTTAATTCTAATGAGACATCAGTGAAAGATATAAACTCTTAGGCTCTTGTTGTAAGAAGGGACCTCAGAGATATCTAGGACACCTTCCCATCCTCAGCTTGAATCTCTCCTCATAATGATATCGTGATGATTATTTTTAATATTGGTTTTTATTGCATGTTTACTGTGTGCCAAGCACAGTACTAAGTGAACCACATATGCCTTCTCATTTATTTTGCATAACAACACTGTGAGGTGTATCAGACTATTACCCCTGCTACACAGATGAGGTCGCTGCAGGTCTGGAGAGGTTAAGTGACCTGCTCATGGTCACACAGCTAGTAAATGACAGAGCCTGAACTGGTTCTGGGTTCTCAAACCCGTCAATATCACCCTCCACAGCCCGCCCACCATCCCACCAAGTTGCGGACCAGCCTAGACTTGAAGCCTTCAAATGATGGCGGGCACGTGACTTCCCAAGGCACTCGTGGACAATTCATATTTCCTCAAGATACTCTTCTATTTTAAACACTTCCTTGCCTTCTTTTTCTCTATCACAGGAAGTCATCAGTGGCCTACAGGAATTTTCAGCAACTACGTGCTGTTTTACCCAATTATAGTCTGTTAGAAGGAGAAAAAATACCAGATAAAATACCTGAGAACTGCCTTCCATGAATGTCCAGCTTAGGTCTGTCTGGTAGTCTATTAAGCAGAGGTACATAGTTAATATTTTAACATCCAGTGGAAAAATACCAATTATTTACTCCAGGGGGGTTACTCTTAGGAACACTCTTCACCTGCAAATGTGCAGAGTAGGGAGTCTCTCTCCTAAACACACCTCAGGACCAGGAAGTAAATAAAAACAGTAAAAAGCCATGGGCCTCTATTCTGAAGGGAGCCTTTTAAGTAGTCAGGTATACCTAAAACACAAGGGTTTCTGAGGCTTTCGATTGCAGCAGATTATAAGGAGGAAGCATCCCGTAGACTCGTTATTATAAACTGAATTGTGTTACTCCCCTCCTGAGGAACTGCAGCTGCATCCCCAACCCTGCAAAGGAGGATGTAAACTCCTTGAAAGTTCTTCAAGATCCTTTAAAATATGACCCAACTTGTTTTTTCAGTTTTTCTAGCTACTTCTAACAGTCTGTTTATTGTTCCAGTAACGTTCTCCTCCTCTTCCCTCTTTGCTTCCTCTGAGGATATCCTACCCCTCCTTCACCCCCACCATTAAAAGTCACCACCAGGAAACCTGTTCATTCCTCATCCCACGATCAGTCTCTCCCCTCGGTGATCTCTCGCTACCGTGCGTTGATTACGGAATTACCGTTTTCCCCTTTTTGAGGATGACTAGTGGTTTTAGGATCTTAATGATGCTGCTGTTTTCTAAGAACTGGGTACATGGTTCAAAAAGATGAAATCTCTAAACCATTAGAGGATGTTTTCCATTTAATGATATTAAAATAAGAGCTTTGAATTTAAAGGGAATATTCTTCATTTTTAAAAGAAAATTTCACTTAAGTTGCTGGACAAATGAAGGGCCATGCTTATCTCTGTTCTGTATCTTCATCTACATATTGTTATAGTTTACTGGATTTTTTTGTTTCAGCTTTTCCTGCAAATATGCTTCCCCACCTACCCTGATCTATTTTGTTGCCTTTGCAGCACAGGAGCCTTTTATTTTGGTGTAGTCCCACTTGTTTTTTTTGCTTTTGGTGTCTATGCTTTTGGCATCCTAGCCAAGAAATCATTAGCAATGTCGAGATTTACATGGGAGGATGGTGTTTTCTCTCGGTGATTCATCAGTCTGCAAGGATCTGAGTTTTCACTAATGCTACATACTCTTAGTATGCTGTATCTACACGGCAAGTCTTTCCCTGTGAAGAGACCCCTTTTCGGTTGAGAGGATGTTTCATTAACTCCTTCGGGGTGCTAAAGATAAATTTCATTTTCTGACACCTTTCCAAAACAAGATTAACTTATTGGTTTGTTACAGACAGTATTAGATTGTGTTTTTTCCCTCTGTAGTGGTGGTATAAAAATAAATTTCTATATTAGAAGAAAGTGTAAAGAAATTTTTCATAGTCCTATCATCTAATCCGATTTAAGATTCTTTCTAGCCTTATTTTCCCATGCATTCTTAATACTTAGGAATCATAGTCACACAGCATATACATATTTTTAAAAATTAACATGGGGCTCTAAAGTTGAATTTTGTGGTTGGGTATTGGGGGGTATATTTATTCTTTTTGGAGGAGGATCATCAGATTTTCATGGTTCTTTGACCTTAAAAAGGCTATCTTCTAACTTAACATTAAAGTCCAAGTCTTTTAGCCCTGTGCCTTCAAACACTCTAAAATATTGTCAGTAACTGTTTTCTGGATGATTTACTTCCTCATTTTTTTATCATAAATAATACATATCATGAAATCTACCTTCTTAACAAATTTTTAAGTATGAAGTGTAGTATTGTATGCACGTTGTTGTTAGAACTTTTTCATCTTGCATGTCTGAAATCCCATGCTCATTGAACCAGGACCTCTCCATTTCTCCCTCCTCCTCCCAGCCCCGGGGAACCACTGTTCTACTTTCTGCTTCTATGAGTTTGAACACTTTAGATATGTCACATTGGTGGAATCATGCAGTATTTGTCCTGTGACTGGCTTATCTCACCTAGCGTAATGTCCTCCAGGTTCATCCATGTCACAGCACAGGACAGGATTCCTTTCTTTAAGGCTGAATAATATTCCATTGTGTGTGTATATTACATTTTCTTTATCCAGTCATCTGTTGATGTAAATTTAGGTTGTTTCTACTTTTTTGGCTATTGTGAATAATGCTGCAATAAACATCAGAGAGCAAATATCTCTTCAAGATCC